TAAAAGTTTGGGGCTGCGACGCTTATGTGAAAAAGTTTCAGGCTGATAAGCTCGAACCCAAAGCGGATAAATGCATCTTCATAGGACACCCAAAACAGTTGGGTATACCTCCTGTCTCAGATCCGAAAGCAATAAGGGATTGTTTCTAGAATCGGGTCCTTTCTCAAGGAAAAGTTTCTCTCGAAAGAATTGAGTGGGAGGATGGTGGAGACTTGATGAGGTTATTGAACCGTCTCTTCAACTAGTGTGTGGCGGGGCACAGGAAGTTGTTCCTGTGGCACCTACACCAATTGAAGTGAAAGCTTATGATAGTGATCATGAAACTTCAGATCAAGTCACTACCAAATCTCGTGGGATGACAAGGATGCGTACTACTTCAGAGTGGTACGTGATCCTGTCTTGGAAGTCATGTTGCTAGACAACAATGAACCTACGAGCTATGGAGAAGCGATGGTGGGCCCGGATTCTGATAAATGGCTCGAGGCCGTAAAATTCGAGAGAGGATCCATGTATGGAAACAAAGTGTAGACTTTGACAGAACAACTCGATGGTCGTGAGGCTGTTGAGTATAGATGGATTTTAAAAGGAAGACGGACAATGATGGTAAGTATCACCATTAAGAAAGGTTGACTTGTCGTTAAGATTTTTTCCGACAAGTTCAAGGAGTTGACTATGATGAGACTTTCTCACTCGTAGCGATGCTAAGAGTCTGTTGGAATTATATTAGCGATTACTGCATTATTTATGAAATCTTGCAGATAGGATGTCAAAACATTGTTTCCTCGACGATTTTCTTGAGGAAAGGCTGTATGTGATACAACCGGAAGGTTTTGTCAATCCTAAAAGATGCTAATAAGTACGCAAAGCTCCAGCAATCCTTCTAAGGACTGGAGTAAGCATCCCGGAGTTGGAATGTATGCTTTGATGATGATCAAAGATTTTGGGTGTATACAAAGTTTATGAGAAACTTGTATTTCCAAAGAAGTGAGTGGGAGCACTATAGAATTTCTGATGAGTATATGTTGTTGACATATTATGGATCAGAAATGATGTAGAATTTCTGGAAAGCATATAGGGTTACTTGGAAAGTGTTTTTCAATGGAAAGTCTGGATTAAGCTACTTGAACATTGAGCATCAAGATCTATAAGGATAGATCAAAACGCTTAATGGTACTTTCAAATGAGCACATACCTTGATATGATCTTGAAGGTGTTCAAGATGGATCAGTCAAAGAAGGAGTCCTTGCCTGAGTTGTAAGGTATGAAGTTAAGACTTAAAGCTCGACCACGGCAGAATAGAGAGAAAGGACGAAGGTCGTCCCCTATGCTTAAGACATAGGCCCTACAGTATGCTATGTTGTGTACCGCACCTGAAATGTGCCTTGCCATGAGTCAGTCAAGGGGTACAAGAGTGATCCAAGAATGGATCACAAGACAGCGGTCAAAGTTATCCTTAGTAACTAGTGGACTAAGGAATTTTCTCGATTATGGAGGTGGTAAAAGAGTTCGTCGTAAAGGGTTACGCCGATGCAAACTTTGACACTAATCCAGATTATTCTGAGTAGTAAACTGGATTCGTATAGTAGAACAGTTATTTGGAATAGCTCCAAATGTAGCGTAGTAGTTGCATCTACAAGATGACATAGAAATTTGCGAAGTACATACGGATCTGAAAGATTCAGACCCGATGACTATAACATCTCTCACAAGCATAACATGATCAAACCCAGAACTCATCGAGTGTTAATCACATGGTAATGTGAACTAGATTATTGACTCTAGTAACTCTTTGGGTGTTAGTCACATGGGGATGTGACCTTGAGTGTTAGTCACATAGCGATGTGAACTGGATTATTGACTCTAGTGCAAGTGGGAGACTGTTGGAAATATGCCCTATAGGCAATAATAAATTGGTTATTATTATATTTCCTTGTTCATGACAATCGTTTATTATCCATGCTAGAATTGTATTGATAGGAAACTCAGATACATGTGTGGATACATAGACAACACCATGTCCCTAGTAAGCCTCTAGTTGACTAGCTCGTTAATCAATAGATGGTTACGGTTTCCTGACCATGGACATTGGATGTCGTTGATAACGGGATCACATCATTAGGAGAATGATGTGATGGACAAGACCCAATCCTAAGCCTAGCACAAGATCATGTAGTTCGTATGCTAAAGCTTTTCTAATGTCAAGTATCATTTCCTTAGACCATGAGATTGTGCAACTCCTGGATACTGTAGGAATACTTTGGGTGTGCCAAACGTCACAACGTAACTGGGTGGCTATAAAGGTACATTATAGGTATCTTCGAAAGTGTCTGTTGGGTTGGCACGAATCGAGACTGGGATTTGTCACTCCGTGTAAACGGAGAGGTATCTCTGGGCCCACTCAGTAGGACATCATCATAATGTGCACAATGTGATCAAGGAGTTGATCACGGGATGATGTGTTATGAAACGAGTAAAGAGACTTGCCGGTAACGAGATTGAACAAGGTATCGGGATACCGACGATCGAATCTCGGGCAAGTATCGTACCGATAGACAAAGGGAATTGTATACGGGATTGATTAAGTCCTTGACATCGTGGTTCATTCGATGAGATCATCATGGAACATGTGGGAGCCAACATGGGTATCCAGATCCCGCTGTTGGTTATTGACCGGAGAGTCATCTCGGTCATGTCTGCATGTCTCCCGAACCCGTAGGGTCTACACACTTAAGGTTCGGTGACGCTAGGGTTATAGAGATATTAGTATGCGGTGACCCGAAAGTTGTTCGGAGTCCCGGATGAGATCCCGGACGTCACGAAGAGTTCCAGAATGGTCCGGAGGTAAAGAATTATATATAGAAAGTGCTATTTCGGCCATCGGGACAAGTTTCGGGGTCACCGGTATTGTACCGAGACCACCGGAAGGGTCCCAGGGGTCCACCGGGTGGGGCCACCTGCCCCCGGGGGCCACATGGGCTGTAGGGGGTGCGCCTTGGCCTACATGGGCCAAGGGCACCAGCCCCTAGAGGCCCATGCGCCAAAGGGACAAGAGGAGGGGAGAGTCCTAAAGGGGGAAGGGACCTCCGAGGTGCCTTGGGGAGGATGGACTCCTCCCCCCTTGGCCACACCCTTCCTTGGAGGAAGGGGCAAGGCTGCACCCTCCCCCTCTCCCTTGGCCCTATATATAGTGGGGGGGGGAAGGGAGGGCAACCATACCTAAGCCCTGGCGCCTCCCTCTCCCTTCCATGACACATCTCCCTCCTCCCGCAGCGCTTGGCGAAGCCCTGTTGGAATCCCGCTACTTCCACCACCACGCCGTCGTGCTGCTGGATCTCCATCAACCTCTCCTCCCTCCTTGCTGGATCAAGAAGGAGGAGACACCGCTGTTCCGTACGTGTGTTGAACGCGGAGGTGCCGTCCGTTCGGCGCTAGGATCATCGGTGATTTGGATCACGACGAGTACGACTCCATCAACCCCGTTCTCTTAAACGCGTCCGCGCGTGATCTACAAGGGTATGTAGATCCACTCCTCCCTCATTGCTAGATGACTCCATAGATTGATCTTGATGACACGTAGGAAAATTTTGAATTATTGCTACGTTCCCCAACACTCCCTCCTTGTCTCTCGTAGTGCTTGGCGAAGCCCTGCTGGAGTCCTGCGCTCCTCCACCACCACCACACCGTCGTGCTGCTGCTGGATGGAGTCTTCCCCAACCTCTCCTTCTCCCCTTGCTGGACCAAGGCGTAGGAGACGTCACCGGGCTGTACATGTGTTGAACACGGAGGTGTCGTCCGTTCGGCACTAGAATCATCGGTAATTTGGATCATGACAAGTACGACTCCATCAACCCCGTTCACTTGAACGCTTCCGCTTAGCGATCTACAAGGGTATGTAGATGCACTCTCCTTCCCTCGTTGCTAGATTACTCCATAGATTGATCTTGGTGATGCGTAGAAAATTTTGAATTTCTGCTACGTTCCCCAACATGTCTGTCTAACGGGATGTTCACATCCCTTATCAGTTATTTTCCTATGTTGCTGCCAAGATCTTTAATTTGCTATTAAATCTGGTCTCGCTTGCCCCACGTACTGCTATCAACATCAGATGACATCACAAGGTATTCTAATCTTCATCTGCTTACTGCTTAGCTCTTACTGCACACTATATATTCTGGATAAATATGATTGATACTTATGGAAAATTATCCTTACAGTGTGCTTTAAATTGCATCCTTGTCATGAAAAATTAACTACTGCACTTGATATATATAGTCATCGATAATCTAATTGTGGTTCGGTGTTAGATCATTTTAGTATTTATATAGGCATTCATAGTGCAATCTGATTCTCTTATGTGCCACATGTTCATATTTACGATACTCCCTAATCAGAGTTGCCTCTAATTTTTCCTTCAACAATACGTGTTATCATTTAGATTAACAGATTACCAGGTTGTTGGATCTACTATGTCCTAGGAATTGCCCATATGAAATTATCAGAGGTTTTATGCAAAATAGGGTTCACTACCAAATAGATTAATTCAATCAACAATACCATGAAAATATTTACAAATACAAATTCGTACTGCTGTGTAGGATGGTGAAGCCATGGAACCTGATTGAAGATGGGAAGACTGATTGAAGGTGGGAAGATGATGCACGAAAAGCCTGAAGGAGATGTGGAGCCTTATTGAAGATGACCAACTTCAGATCCAAGGTCAACGTCTCCCATCGAGTGCCTGTCACGGGGTTCACAGCCAGCCCTTTGCGATCTAGGTGTATAACATGCGGGAAACAAAGTCTGTCTTTTATAGGCAGTGAAAAGGGCGCGAGGTGAGACGCAAAAAGCAGAATTGGTGCCATCTGAGGTTGTTGAGGAATAGGCGGGGGCGTATATTTTTTACGGGTATATTTATAAGGAAAACGATAATCCAAACATGCCTCAAACTAGAAAAACAAAGCGAGACAAACGTTGCCGGGTTGCACTCTTCTCGATCTGGTCTAAGCACACGTAGGATAAACTGCCAATCTTTCCACCATCGGCGCGTTACTTTTCTTGCTCTCTTCAGCTTCTTCTTCCAGGTGGAGGCCATGAGCGTAGTCGTCGAAGCATTCGTCAATTGTCCTGAATGGAATGTCAGGGTAAAGGCTTGATACTTCAACGTCTCTCGACCCGTCGATGCCGAAGTTGGTCTGGCAGCCGTTTATAAAGATGTCGTGCGTGAGCGAAGCGACTATGCTCTCCGGGATGATGTCTTCTGCAATGCATAAGATGAATCAGATTTTCAAGCCAAAATCACGTTGAATCTCAGGCTGCATGAGTAGGTACCCGCAGCCATGGCGAGCAAGTCCTCCTTGCTAAGCGTGACGCGCGGCAGTGTGCGGCCGATCTTGCTCTCCCAGAGGCAGGCCATCTCGTTGGTGCTGAGGAGATTGCAGGCGGGGCGGAAGTGGACGACCTTGTTGACGCTCCGGGCGTCGTACGCGGCCTTGACCGTGAACTTGCCAATGTCAGTTCCAGCCACGAAGAACGCTGTGCAGTGCGGACAGAATCGCTGAGTCACGGTGAAGGAACAAAGAGAGAGGTAGGGCATGGGTATACCTCTGACGGTGCCATCGCCGTAGATCTGGAAGCGGTCGAGCGGCGGGCGCACCTCGGACGGGTGCATGTTGTCGAAGTAGGGCCAGCCGGCGATGGAGTTGCAGCAGATGTAGGTGTAGGGCACGCCGGCCGCCTCCGCCGCCCGCCGGACGCGCCGCTTCTCCTCGTAGAACCCCAGCCCGGCCCCCACCGGGCGCGCCCTGTCCACGTCGTGCCCGAACTCCGACGGCAGAAACCTCTGTTGTGCGCACCGCGCATACAAGTCCATCATGCATGCATACGGGTGTGTACGTGCACGTCACAGTGCAGTGTAACACAAACTTGCAAGTGCTGGCGCGTACCTTGACGGTGCCGGCGGCTTGGATGGCTTTGATGAGGCCGAGCTGGTCGAGGATGTTGGCGCCGCCCATCACCGAGATCACCACCTCGACGCCGTGCGCGCGGAGCGCCGTCTCCACGGACCTCCCGCCGTCTTTCCCGTCGACGCGGCCCTGGCATTTCAGAGGGCGCATACCTAACTACGTGAACATCTGTACTACATACAGTGGCGGAGACACGCCTGGAGCAGTTAGGGCTATAGCCCCAGGCCTAGAAACAATTTTTTTTATAATTTCTTCATGCAAAGCATAGAAAATCATAGAAGTTTATCACTCAATATAGCACAGCCCTAGGCGTAATCTGCATCTAACTCCGCCACTGGGTGTCTGCATGATATATAATACCTCGACGACCAAGGCGCCTTTGCGCTGGAGCGCGTCGACGGAGGCCGCGCGCGCGGGGCAGGCGTTGCCGGGGCGGACGAGGATGAAGGTCCTGCGCCCGCTGTCGAGGCAGGCCTCCGCCACGAAGCGACCGATGTAGCCGGTGGCGCCCACGATGAGTGCCGGGCCGGGACGAGGCACTTCCTCTTCCTCACAAGGCGCCATCGCTTCCGTCGCTGTGCCTAGCTTGCTAGAAGCTGATGACCAGATGGTGGCGGTTCTAGCAACCGGCTGGCAGACGCTGACCGGCAGAGTTGGATCTTATATAGAGGTTGTCTTTGTACCCTACTTGTCACCTGTCGGGCAGGTCTGGTTACAGAAGAAGAGTAGGTAAACACATGGCAGCCCAAACTCACACGTTAGGTGCTGCTGAATCCTAGTTTTGCCAGATCCAATAGCAAGGGACCAGATTCATATGTGAGTGGTAAAGGGTCAGGGACCCTCTGTAGGAATCAGATGCTTCTGTATCGTGCAAAATTTCTGCACAACTGTCTCTCCGTTCGTGTCAAACGGGTAGTATGATCTCTTCTTGTTGGCTGGGCCTGATTCTTCTACACAGACCGGCTGGTAAGGGCCGTAGGTTTCTTCCTTAGTCAAGCCCCACGACAAATGCTGATGGCGTTTGCCCCGCCGAGAGACGTGGCGGTAGTTACCATTTTTGCGCCTCGTTTTTTTAGCATAATAACTTTATCTTCTATATCTAAATAGCTAGCCCCCATTAACTATTTCTCCTAACATGCAAGCATGCCACATCATCTCACAACATGCATGAGAAAAGATCCACCCTCACTACCATAGTATCTCAACATGCAAGCATGCCACTTCATCATAACATGCACGGAAAAAAACTCATCTCAATATGCAAACATACATGAGAATTTTCATTCTATTATGGTATATATATTTGAAATATATTTAACAACTATATAGTAATCAAACATAATAAGTTATATCATTTTTAGTTTTAGCCTTTTATATTATTACTTCAAATATTCATGTTTCATACAATGAATCACATTGAAATATGTTGTAAAATGTTCCCGCAACAACGTGCGGGGTATCATCTAGTTCATCAAATGATAGTGTCGTTTACAAAAAGGGTCTTTTACATCTGTGTCCCTAACTGGAACCCACTACTCATATTTGCCCTTAATTTTGAAGTGTGCTCAAATTTATCCCTCTGCCGTTAAGTGCACTTATAGAAATGTCTTTCCGTGCCGTTTCCGTCCGGTCAAAGTGGGTTGACCGGTATCTGGCCGTTTCTTTGACAATCTTGCCCCTGTCTCCATGTGTCTCTTATGGATGGGACCCACTCCAATTTTTTTGGTAAAAGCCCTATCACGTGGGTCCTAGCTAGAAAAACTAAAATGAAAAATAGAAAAGGACTAGTCAAACTAGATATTAGGCCCACATGTCATTGGCTTATCAGTATTTTCTCAAATATTTTTTTAATTAACAATGGATTAGGCTGCCTCAATTAAAAGCCGTGGCTTGGGCCGACGGTCGCCGACGACGACCAATTCCCGCGCCGGAGGCACATAGGGAGGCCGCAAGGAGGCCGACCGAGAGGACCAGGCGATAGCCCTCGATCTACCGCGTGTGGGGATATTGTCGCCGGACCATATGGTCGCCGGAAAAAATGGCGGCGACCATTCCCATGGCGGCTCTGGGCGGCGCAAGTGGGGGAGCTTCCATGCGAGCGGGAGGGAGAGGGAAAAAGGCTGTGTGGGGGATCTTCCATCACTAGGATCACGATGGCTACGCCGCTCAGGCTAAGAGAAGGCTAGAGCGTCCGAGACTGGAGGCGGGAAGATGCGTTGTAGCGCTCAATCCTTGATGTCTCTGGTCGAATTAGTGCTGGAATTTAGTCTATTTTGGGCAGCCCAATAACTATTTCAGAAATTCCTAATAAATCCTAGAGGCCCACTTAGCCCATTTGTGCAAGGCAAGGGATACTACTAAAGTTTAGTCCCACATTGCTAATTTAGTGGGAGTTGGACCTCCTTATAAGGGAGGTTCTTTCCCCACTTGTACGAGCATGAGACCAAGAGGGATATCCACACGCGCTCCTCCTCCGCCGCCAGCCTCGCCACGCCACGCCTCGTCACGACGCGCCGCGGGTTGCGGGAATGAGCCGAGCCGATATCTAAGGTCGCTCCTCTCAGAGAGACGCACCAGAATCTCTTCCTCCTCTCGCCACAAGTTCCTGAGCACTACGTTGTTGCTACATTCTTCCCCATCCCGTCTTGCGGCGTGCACCGCAGGTCGGGATAGTAGGCCTCCGAAACCGCACCTTTTGAGTCCTGTACGGGAGAAGGGTGATAAGGTTTTTGGGGAGCGCTCAGCGCGACTACTGGCTGCTTCATCATGGACGATCCGGTCGCCGACGACTTCTTCCCCGACCTCCTCGACGACATGGCAGGCGAGGACACCGACCCCAAGTCCAGCGCTTCTGCTGCTGCTGTCCCGTACGTGTTCTTGTCTTTCCTGTTAAAGGTTCTGCCGCAATTCCTTATTCTAGTCCTTGTCCTACACATGATAGGTTCTACTTCATATATGCAACTAGTTCTACTGTCTGCTATAGATATGCTAGGCTACGGTTCATATATGCAGAAGCTATTTACCTTCTCTCTGTCAGAACGCATGACTTGTTTTATCTCTATTATATTACTCATGCTTTATCTAGTATTTTTGTTAATAAAATCATTTGGTAAATTGCTCATATTTCCAACAATCCAAAAACCTTATTATAGGCAATTTACCCCAAGTGGTTTTGCTGCTTCCATGAGACCTCCTATGTTTGAGGGTATCCACTATAAGAGGTGGCGCGTGAGAGCAGTCTTATGGTTTCAAACCATGAGTTGCTATGATGCCACTCTCGGCAAACCTGAAGGAGAGCTTGATGCTCAACAGGCACAAGCTTTTCAGAAATGGATACTCTGTTTAAGGCTGCTCTCTTGAGTGTTCTTGGTGAGAACATAGTTGATGCTTATGCGTCAATTGATAATGGAAAAGATATGTCGGATGCACTCGAGGCCAAGTTTGGGGTCTCGGATGCTGGCACTGAGCTGTACATCATGGAGCAATTCTATGATTACAGGATGACTGAAGAGCGCTCCGTGGTTGAGCAAGCACATGAGATACAGTCATTTGCTAGAGAACTTGAGCACTTCAGTTGTATGCTACCGGACAAGTTTGTTGCCGGAGGTATCATCACTAAGCTTCCTCCTTCATGGAGGAACTTTGCTACCTTGCTGAAGCATAAGAGGCAGGAGTTTTCCATCCCGGATCTCATTGGCACTCTTGATGTGGAAGAAAAGGCAAGAGCAAAGGACACACGTGCTCGAGGTATTCAGGGAGGATCTAGTGCCAATGTGGTACAGAAGCAGAACTTCCAGCCCCACAAGTTCAAGAACAAGGGCAAGTTTGATGGGAAGAACAAGGTTGTGCAACACACGAACTTCAAGAAGAAGAATGACAAGAAGAAAGGTGCTTGTCATGTGTGTGGGGATCCTGATCATTGGGCTCCTAGTTGCTCTAATCGCTATGACAAGCATCATCCTGGAAAAGGCTGCAAGACCGCTAATGTTGTCATTGGAGACACTGACATGAAGGATGCTGGGTATGGTATATTTCCCACTATTCTTTCAGTATGTCATTCTCCTGACTGGTTGATTGACATGGGTGCTAATGTGCATGTATGCGGTGATATTTCCATGTTTTCGTCTTATCAGACCGCAGAGACTTCAACCGTGCTGATGGGCAACAGTTCAAGTGCTTCTGTTCGTGGTGTTGGCACGGTCGATCTGAAGTTTACTTCGGGGAAGATCGTGCGGCTGAAGAACGTGCATTATGTCCCTCCGTCAATAAAAATCTTGTTAGCGGATCTCTTCTGTGTAGAGATGGCTACAAGCTTGTCTTTGAGTCGAATAAATTTGTAATATCCAAGTATGGAACCTTTGTTGGTAAAGGCTATGAGTCAGGATGCTTGTTTCGTTTATCCTTATCAAACGTTTGCAATAAAGTTGTTAATCATATTTGCAACAATAGTGAATCTAATGTGTGGCATTCATGTCTTTGTCATGTTAACTTTGGTTGCATGTCGCGACTACCGAAGTTGAACTTAATCCCTAGTTTCACCACCGTCAAGGGATCTAAGTGTCAAGTGTGTGTGCAAGCTAAGAAACCTCGTAAGTCTCACACGACTGCGGAAATAAGAAATCTTGCACCACTAGAGCTCATACATTCAGATCTATGTGAAATGAATGGTCTATTGACAAAAGGTGGAAAGAAATATTTCATGACGTTAATTGATGACTCCACTAGATACTGCCGTGTGTATCTTCTGAAATCTAAGGATGAGGCTTTGAACTTTTTCAAGATCTATAAAGCTGAAGTGGAAAACCAACTTGATCAGAAAATCAAGAGGCTTAGGTCCGACCGTGGTGGAGAGTATTTTTCCAATGAGTTTGATGCTTTTTGTGCGGAACATGGTATAATCCATGAGAGGACGTCTCCCTACTCACCTCAGTCAAATGGGGTGGCCGAAAGAAAGAACCGTACTCTAACTGATTTGGTTAATGCCATGTTAGACACATCGGGTCTCTCCAAGGCATGATGGGGGGAGGCGATATTGACAACATGTCAAGTCCTGAACCGAGTCCCCACAAAGAACAAAGAGATAACTCCATTCGAGGAATGGGAGAAGAAAAGGTTAAAACTCTCTTATCTGCGAACATGGGGTTCTTTGGCGAAAGTCAATAATCCAATTTCAAAGAAGCGGAAGCTTGGACCAAAGACTGTGGATTGTGTTTTCCTGGGATATGCTTTTCATAGCATTGGCTATAGATTCTTGGTTGTAAAATCTGAGGTACCTGACATGCATGTCGGTACGATCATGGAGTCAAATGATGCGACTTCCTTTGAAGATATCTTTCCCATGAAGGATATGGCTACCTCATCTAATCACGAGATGCCTAGTTCATCGAATCAGGAACCAGTTACAACTACCGAACCTACAATTTCGATGGAACACTTTGAAAGTCCAGTGGAGGAGAACAATGAAGTTCCCATTAGGAGCAAGAGACAGAGGACTGCAAAGTCCTTTGGTGATGATTTTCTTGTGTACCTCATAGATGACACTCCCAGTTCTATTTCAGAGGCCTATGCATCTGAAGATGCTAACTACTGGAAGGAAGCGGTTCGTAGCGAGATGGATTCCATCTTGGCAAATGAAACTTGGGAGATAATTGATCGTCCTTATGGGTGCAAATCTATAGGATGCAAATGGGTATTCAAGAAGAAGCTTAGGCCTGATGGTACTATTGAAAAGTACAAGGCTCGGCTCGTGGCTAAGGGTTATACCCAAAAGGAAGGTGAAGACTTTTTTGATACTTACTCACCTGTGGCTCGACTGACCACTATTCGAGTTCTACTTTCACTAGCCACCTCGCATGGTCTTCTCGTTCATCAAATGGATGTTAAGACTGCTTTCCTAAATGGAGAGTTGGACGAGGAAATTTATATGAAACAACCAGATGGGTTTGTACTAGATGGTCAGGAAGGGAAAGTGTGCAAGTTGCTGAAGTCTTTGTACGGACTTAAGCAAGCACCCAAACAGTGGCATGAGAAGTTTGAAAGAACTTTAACAGCTGCAGGCTTTATTGTGAACGAAGCTGACAAATGTGTGTACTATCGCCATGGTGGGGGCAAGGGAGTTATCCTGTGCTTGTATGTTGATGACATACTGATTTTCGAAACCAATCTGAATGTTATTAAGGAGGTCAAGGATTTCCTATCTCGTTGTTTTGAGATGAAGGATTTAGGAGTGGCTGATGTCATTCTGAATATCAAGTTGTTGAGAGACGATGATGGTGGGATTACATTGCTTCAATCTCACTATGTGGAAAAGATCTTGAGTCGCTTTGGCTACAGTGACTGCAAGCCCTCTCCAACACCATATGATGCTAGTGTGTTGCTTCGAAAGAATCGAAGAATTGCTAGAGACCAATTGAAGTATTCTCAGATTATTGGCTCGCTTATGTACTTAGCCAGTGCTACAAGACCTGACATCTCTTTTGCTGTTAGCAAACTGAGTCGGTTTGTTTCAAAACCAGGATATGTGCATTAGAAAGCTTTAGAAAGAGTTTTGCGTTATTTGAAAGGCACTGCAAATTATGGAATTCACTACACTGGGCATCCAAAGGTGCTTGAAGGGTATAGTGACTCAAACTGGATCTCAGATGTTGATGAGATAAAGGCCACGAGCGGTTATGTATTCACTCATGGAGGTGGCGCTGTTTCTTGGAAGTCTTGCAAGCAGACCATCTTAACGAGGTCAACAATGGAAGCAGAACTCACAGCACTAGATACAGCTACGGTTGAAGCAGATTGGCTTCGCCGGCTCTTGAATGACTTATTGGTTGTTGAGAAACCTGTACCGGGTGTCCTTAAGAACTGCGACAATCAAACTATGATCACGAAAGTGAGCAGTTCAAAGGATAACATGAAGTCATCAAGACACGTTCAGAGAAGGTTAAAGTCTGTCAGGAAAATGAAAAAGTTCGGAATTATTGCGTTGGATTATATCCAAACGTCTAAAAATCTGGCAGATCCTTTTACCAAGGGTCTATCACGTAATGTGATAGATAATGCATCGAGGGAGATGGGTATGAGACCCACAATATGAGTTGTTCACAGTGGTAACCTATTCTTTGTGATCGGAGATCCCGTGAATTAGATGTGGAAGACAAGCTGTTGGTCAACTGAGAGGAGAGTATCCTTACTATTCACAATACCACTCCATGAAAATGCAATACTCTCTTAATCTGCATGGCAGGTTGATGTATATCTTAATGTGTTCTAAGTGGCTTATTTAAGTACAGATGTTATCCTGCAGAACATCTTTTGAAGAACACACCTATATGAGTCTGATTGTCAAACGTCGCAATCTATGAGAGTAGGATTCTCTCTAGTAAACTTATGAAAGGTCACGGAGTATGACGCATAAGCTCCACCCGCGAGGAAGACCCACGGTAGCCACGTATCGGTCAAGGCTTTATGTGAAGCTAGATTCGCAGAAAACTTGCAGTTCAAGGCCCAGTCCACTGTTCAAGTTGCTTACTAGTGTAGCATAGAGTTCTAGGTGGAAGTTCAACTTAACAGTCTCCACTGCAGTATCGGTATATAAAATAGTGTTTTTTGGAACCAAAGGCAAATTTCTGTGTGTCTCTGGGATCTGGTGGGGGATTGCTGGAATTTAGTCTGTTTTGGGCAGCCCAATAACTATTTCAGAAATTCCTAATAAATCCTAGAGGCCCACTTAGTCCATTTGTGCAAGGCAAGGGATACTACTAAAGTTTAGTCCCACATTACTAGTTTAGTGGGAGTTGGACCTCCTTATAAGGGAGGTTCTTTCCCCACTTGTACGAGCATGAGAAGAAGAGGGATATCCACGCGCGCTCCTCCTCCGCCGCGCGCCTCGCCACGCCTCGTCACGACGCGCCGCGCCGCGGGTTGCGGGAATGAGCCGAGCCGATATCTAATTTTTTTCCACGCACTACGGGTATACGCTGCACCCTTCGGCTGCTGACTGTTCGTTTCATCTCCCGCGTTCCCTTCAGCTCCCGGCGCAGCCTCTCGCCTCCTTCTCTTGCGCCTATAAAAGGGAGGTCGCTCCTCTCAGAGAGACACACCAGAATCTCGTCCTCCTCTCGCCACAAGTTCCTGAGCACTGCGCTGCTGCTACGTTCTTCCCCATCCCGTCTTGCGGCGTGCACCGCAGGTCGGGACAGTAGGCCTCCAAAACCGCACCTTTTGAGTCCTGTACGGGAGAAGGGTGATAAGGTTTTTGGGGAGCGCTCAGCGCGACTACTGGCTGCTTCATCACGGACGATCCGGTCGCTGACGACTTCTTCCCCGACGTCCACGACCTCCTCGACGACATGGCAGGCGAGGACACCGAACCCAAGTCCAGCGCTTCTGCTGCTGCTGTCCCGTACGTGTTCTTGTCTTTCCTGTTAAAGGTTCTGCCGCAGTTCCTTATTCTAGTCCTTGTCCTACACATGATAGGTTATACTTCATATATGCAACTAGTTCTACTGTCTGCTATAGATATGCTAGGCTACGGTTCATATATGCAGAAGCTATTTACCTTCTCTCTGTCAGAATGCATGACTTGTTTTATCTCTATTATATTACTCATGATTTATCTAGTATTTCTGTTAATAAAATCATTTGATAAATTGCTCATATTTCCAACAATTAGTAGGCTGGTAGGATGCGTTCATGTCGTAAGAGCTTCCCGACGAGTTGGCGGGGCTTGGTGTTGCCCTTGGCCACGTTCTTGACAGACGACGGCGACAGGTCACTCTCTAGCCGTCTAGCATGCTTGCGGGAGAGGGCTCAAGGGCGGGAGAGAGAAAGCAGGCTAGCGGCAGAAAGAGAACGAGGGCGAGAGGGATGCGACGTCAGGGGAGGCCAGCTGTAGAGGCGACGCCCGTTCGTCACTCTCACCGGAGTTGAGAGAGAGTGGCGTCGGCCCGTCGTTCGGCAGGGAGAGAGAGAGGTGAGAGAAAGAAAAATATTTTTTGTCTAGCTAGGACCCACATGTAAGTGTGTGTGAGAGAGATGGGGTGAGAGAAAGGGTTTTTTCAAAAAAAAGGAGTGGGTCCTACCGGTAGGTGGGACATGAAGACAGGGCCAAAATTGTCAAAGAAACGGCCAGATACCGGTCAAACAGCTTTGACCGGACGGAAACGGCACGGATGGGCATTTCTATAAGCGCACCTAACGGCAGAGGGGCAAATTTGAGTATGCTTTGAAATTAGGGACAAATCTGAGTAGGTGGTTCGAATTAGAGATAGAAATGCAAATGACCCTTACAAAAAAAGCTGAAGAACAAAGTCAGGGATGTTTGCGCCTCGGTAACTTGACGGGCGCGCTTTCTTTCGTTCATGTTTCATACAATGAATCATATTGAAATATGTTGTAAAATGTTCCCGCAACAACGTGCGAGGTATCATTTAGTTCATCAAATGATAGAGTCGTTTACAAAAAAGCTGAAGAACAAAGTCAGGGATGTTTGCGCCTCGGTAACTTGATGGCGCGCTTCCTTTCGTTGGGAAAATGTAAAACTTGACGCACGAGCTACGGAGCGGAACGTGGCCGCCGGCAAAATAGCATAAGACCGCAACAGAAACAAGGACCAAGGAGGAAAGAAAGCACGTACGAAGGGGAGAGTAATCAAGGATGCAGATCTTCGTCAAGACGCCGGCGGGGAAGACCACCACCCTGGAGGTCGAGAGCAGCCACACCGTCGATGATGTCAAGTCCAAGGTCCAGGACAAGGAAGGTATACCGTGAGTCGTCCATGCCCAACGCCATGTTTTTTTTAATTAATTACCCCCGTGTCGCACCGTCGATCTTCGCAGGAATCTCGCCGGACCAGCAGCGTCTCGTCTACGCCGGGAAGCAGCTGCCGGACGGCCGCACCCTGGCCGACTACGGTGTACACAAGGAGTCAACAATCCACCTCGTGCTACGCCTCGGCGGAGGCTGGTGCTTCTACAAATACGGCCCCGACCTGCGAGCCCTCGCGGAAAAGTACAACGCCAACAAGATGATCTGCTGCAAGTGCGTATTTTTTCTCTTTCATTCAAAAGTGGATAATCCCGGTCTGCCTGCATCATACGACACACATAGTCATTTTATATTAAAAAATATATGAATTTGCTAAAGCACATCTAGATATGCCATAAGTATTGCATGTTTAAATCTTGTGCTGTAAATTTTAGGCCAAGATTCGTACGCATATTTTCTTTTCTTTTTTATTTTTTCTTTTTATGCTTGCTTGAGTCACTTTAAATGTGCAATAATTAGGACATATCTAAATGCGCCTTAGACAAAATAAGTCTCAGTCATCGGGTCACAAAAGTTATTGAAATAGACTTTCGTCCCGCTTTATTAATAAAGCCACCATCGCGTCCATACAAAAAATTCAAGTGCAGTAGAGTAAATTAAACGGCTGAGGCATCAGCACAAACAGATCCCTCGCCAACAAGAGCACTCTCTCTCAGCCGGCTCCCTCTCGCCCTCTCCACCTACCCCACCGCTCTGCCACTGCGCCCACCGCTGCTACCCGCCCACCACCGGCCTCCACTGAGATCCCGCCGCCGCGGCCCTCCAGGGTCCCCCTCCCCCACTCGCCGCCGCACTCCGCAAGCATGGCTCACTACCTGCCGCTGGCGAGGAGCCGCTTCCCTGGGGAGCTGCTCACCCACGGGGACCCAGATCTGAGGCCGGAGCGGGGCGGGGGCATTATCTCCCGCTCACCAGGCATGGACGCTTTGGAGGCGGATTACGGCAACCATGCCCTGCTGGCTACGGTCCGGGGCAGGCGGCCCACGGTCTCGCCAGAGGCACTGGTGCGGGAGCTGGAACGCTGCTGCGGCGTCGAGAGGAGCCGGATCCGGGTGGAGGTCACGCATCCGGCCGATTTCTTCATCACCTTCGCCACATCAGAGGAGTGTGACGCGGTCTTCACCCGGTCTGGCCAGATCCGCTGCGTCGGGGCCCCCATCGCCTTCCAGCGCTGGCACCGGAGCGCGTAGGCCTCCAGCGGCAAACTACAGTTCTTCTGCAAGTTAGGGATCGAGGACCTTCCTGCCAGTGCTTGGGAATGGGGGACTCTTAGTCAGCTCGTCAACAACCTTCAAGGTCAGCTGGTTGAGATCCTGCCGCCGACCGACCGCTGGCAGCTGGAGGTGACGGCGTGGATGAAGAACCCGTCCGGCATTCCCAAGATTTACGATCTGGAGGTTCCGGAGCCGGCGGGTCTGCCAAACTCGGTCGACCAAGAATGGCCGGTTGCCCCACCACCGCCGGCGCCGCCCTCGGAGTGCATCACACTTGTGCATCACCTCACCATTCATGTCCTGGATGTGGTGGACCGCACCGTGCCATACTTGCAATTCAGGCCGGACTTCGAGCCGGAGGAGGACGAAGATCTCACTAGAAGACACGACTACTCCAGAATCTGCTACTGGGGCTTGATAGATGGAATTGGTGCGGGCAACATGATGCGGTCAGGGGGCCATCCTTTTGCGGGTCCGGGCGGGTTGGGTATTGCGGGTGATTGGGGCGGGCGTTCGGCCAACGACCTTCCTACCCAGGGCGGCGGTCTGGAGTTTGGCGCACCAAGGCCGACGGCAACCGCACTGTCCTCTGTTTCACCTTCTTCCAATGCCACGACGGCGGTTGGATCTGTGGCCCTTGTGGGGACGCCAGTGGGTAGGTCCCCGGCATCCATTGCCGTGGGCTCAGCAGCACTGCATCGGACACCAGAGTTAGCACCAAGTGGACGGGGATGTGCGCCATCACCGCGGAGGCTGTCATTTAGCCAGGAGGCTCAGGGGGAGGCTGCAGATGGATCGACCCAAGCTGACGACGTGTTGGATGGGGCAGCACAGGCGCCTGTGATAGAGGAACACAATAGAGCGCTGCTGGAGGTCGTGGGGGCGACAGGGCCACTCTCATCATTGTGCATCCCGCACAGGCAGGAGGAGGAGGAGCCATCGGGGCAGGATTTGCCTCGCACCCCGATTGTAGTCCCGCTGGGGGAGCACCGGCTAATACGGCCAAGCGAGGAGGACGCGGCTACGGAATTCGGCCCCAAAACAGTGGTGACCACGCTACTGAAGGGTGTCGGGGCCACACCCGCGCCATCAGTCTTGGGACTCAGGCCGGTGGCATCCATGCCGGCCAGGCGCAAGAAGAATCTGCCTCCCAATTTCACTCCAAGGAGGAGTGCTAGGCTCTGCCAGCAAGATGATGGCATGAAGAAAGGACCAGAGCAGCGTGCCCAGACGGTGCTACTCCAACGCATGGGCCTGATCGAGAACAAGGAGCAGATGACCCAGGAGGCTCTTGAGGCGTACCTCCGGCTTTTCGACAAGCCACTGGCACCCCAACACATTAGGGCGGTGGCCGCCCTGCTTGATCCGGAGGGACATGGGTTCAACGAGCCGGCGCAACTCCAGTTCGGGGCATTCTTACTTCCCGAGCAGGCGGAGTCCTGCGGCGTCTAGTCGCAGCGACATCAAAGAAAGAGACTCTTCTCTGGTTTGTAATGTCGTTAGGCATAGTATCTTGGAATGTAAGGGGGCTCAATAACCCCGCAAGACGCAGTGCGGTCCGTCTGTCCCTGCAACAGCTTAATGTCTCGTTGGTATGTTTACAAGAGTCTAAATTGGCCATGGTGGAGAGGGCCCTGGTCTTGTAGACTTTAGGGCCCGGGTTTGATGAGTTTGACTATCTGCCAGCGGAGAGGGGTGGCGTTGTGATGGCGTGGAAATCCAATCAATTGCAGGTTTCCAATGTGCAGAAAGGGGGAATTTGTAATCTCGGCAATGGTTAGATCTCTGGCTGATGACAAAATCTGGAAAGTTTCTTCTATGTATGGGCCACAGGAGGTCGAAGACAAAATCAGGTTTCTGGAGGAGCTGGCACATCTAGGCCAGCAGGTTCAAGTACCCTGGATTATCAATGGGGATTTCAATCTGGTGAGCAAGGAGGAGGAGAGAAGCACTCGAAGGATCAATAGGAGGACTGCAAACAAGTTTAGGCACACCTTGAATAGCCTTGGTCTGCATGATATGCCTCTGGCAGGCAGATGCTTCACTTGGTGCAATGGTCAAGAGCAGACAGTTATGGCACGTCTAGATAGGCTGCTGTTTAATAATGAATGGGAAGATCTATTCCCGATCAGCGACCTGACACCCCTAAGCTCGAACATCTCGGATCACTGCCCCCTTCTACTCTCGGTCTCCAGGAAACGTCCACGAGCACACAGATTCAGGTTCGAAAACTTCTGGTGCAAAATTCCGCGTTTTTTGGAGGTGGTTCGAGAGGCTTGGGAGGAGACAGTCAACAGTTAGAACCCGATGAAGATTTTTGCAACCAAATTGCAGTGCACAGCAAAAGCCCTAAGGAGCTGGGGGCAGAGAAATCAGAGTTCTTTTAACCTCCAATTCTAGATAGCGAGTGAGGTTATTCTGCTTTTAGATTCTGCGCAAGAAGTCAGGGCACTATCAGAGGACGAGAGGAGATTGAAAGCTTTCCTAAAGGGCAAATGCCTGGCACGAGCGTCGCTGGAAAGAACGAGGCTGCGTCAGAGGACGCACATTAGAGTCTTGAAAGAGGGTGATGCGAACACTAAGTACTTCCACATGAAGGCTAATGGTAGGAGGAGAAAACACCTGATTCCGTGTATTACCGACGGGACTCATACGGCGGCCACAGTGGAAGACAAGCCGGAGCTTGCAATGGGCTTCTTCATGGAGCTCATGGGCACACCCAAAGAGCGTCCTAGGCTGATCAACCTTGATGAGATACGACTAGGGGCGATTGACCCGGACATGGCACAAGCTTTGGAGGCTCCTTTTTCAGCCGAGGAGGTCAAGCGTGTGGTATTGGGCATGCCGTCGGACCGCGCACCCGGGCCGGATGGATTCTCCGGGCTGTTCTACCAGTCCTGTTGGGATATAATTGCCCAGGACTTCATGGAGGTGACGGAACAGCTCCACACGAGCAGTTTCAACTCGTTCGAGATCCTCAACGAGTCCATCCTGACGCTATTACCCAAGAAGGAGGGAGCGCTGCATCTCAGAGACTTCAGACCGATCAACCTTATTCACGGAGCTGCAAAGATATTTGCGAAAGTTTTAGCGCTGCGGCTGTCCCCCCTGTTGCCGAAGATTATTACCCAGGCATAGTGCGCTTTTGTGAACTCCAGAAGTATACATGAGAACTTTAAGTTTGTACGGAGTGCGGCTCGACAACTGCACCAGAGGAAAACCAAGGCTATTCTGATGAAGATCGACATCTCCAAGGCTTTGATACCCTTTCTTGGGAATTTTTGCTGGAAGTCCTTCGGAGAAGAGGTTTCGGTGAGAGATGGATCTCTTGGATCTGTGGGTTGTTACGTACTGCATCGACCTCTATCCTTCTTAATGGAGTCTTGGGCGAGCCATTCATGTTGGGCAGTGGAGTCAGGCAAGGAGAACCCATATCTCCAGCGCTATTCATCATAGCCATGGACACTCTCCATGCTTTAATGGAATGGGCGAAGCAACATCCGCTGCTCTCTGGTATTTGGTTGGGATGAACGCGTGCCAAGAACCTCCATTTTCGCGGATGATGCCATCCTTTTCTTCACCCCCTCTAGTACAGACTTACATGTGGTGGCCGGCATACTCAAACTATTTGGGGAGGCCTCGGGACTATGCATTAACTTCCAAAAGAGCTCAATCACAGGGATCCGTTGTGATGAGGAACAACTCCAGATAGTGGCCAACCACTTCCAATGCGACAACCAGCCGTTTCCCTTCAAATACTTGGGACTGCCTCTGTCGATCTATAGGCTCAAACGCCATGATATTCTCCCTCTGGTGGACAAGGTTTCCAGTAAGATGAAGGGCTGGAAACCAAAGATGCTGGCAATATCCGGAAGACTGACTCTGTGCCAATCTGTCCTCATGGCACTGCCTATTCACCATATGTCCGTCCTTCCACTTCCAGTCTGGGCAATCAAATTAATTGAACGAAGATGCAGAAGCTTTGTGTGGAAGGGAGAGCATCAGATCAGCGGGGGTCACTGCCTTCTACCCTGGGCTATGTTATGCAGGCCCAAGGAGTTTGGCGGCCTCGGGGTTCTGAACCTGAGGAGTTTTGGTCTGGCTCTCCGCTGTCGGTGGCTGTGGAAGAATTGGGACAAGGAGGAAAGACCTTGGAGTTTCTTTCCGGACAAGGCAGAAAAGGAAGTGGTTGCGATGTTCAACGCAGCATGCAAGATAAAGCTGGGTAGCGGTCATGACGCCCGATTCTGGGTTGATAACTGGCTCCCGGGCGGGAGATCCATCGCCTACACCGCGCAAGCTTTATACTCATATGTCAAGGACAAGGGCATGTCTATCAGAGAGGCTCTGCCTAACAACGCCTGGGTCCGAGACATCTAGGGTGGCATCTCATCGAGAGCCCTGGCCCAGTACCTAGAGGTGTGGGACACCGTGCAAGAAACTGTGCTTCAACAGGACAGAGGGACTCCCCGAGATGGAGACTAACAGAGAGTGCAGCTTTCTCGGTCGGTTCGGCGTACAGGATGTTTTTCTTGGCGAATGCCGGATTTGCTTGCGCTAAGCCTATATGGAAATCGAAGGCGACCCCTAGATGCAAATTCTTCATGTGGTTAGTGGTCCACAAGAGATGCCAGACAACGGACAATTTGCAGAGCAGGGGCTGGCCCAACGATCCCTGCTGCCAACTATGTCACTCGAAGCTGGAGGATTGCACACACCTTTTTGTACACTGCAGATATACGCAACTTGTGTGGACAAGGATCAAACAGTGGTCAGGCGCCAACTTCACAATACCAAGTGAGAGCTACACTTCTACTGAAGACTGGTGGATAAGCGCCAGGCAACAGATACCCAAGACGAGGAGGCGCGTGTTCGACACCATTACCACCCTGATCCATTGGCGAATCTGGAAAGAGAGGAACGCCAGAGTCTTCGACCAGCAGGCCAGCAGTGTTGACAAGGTCTTTGATGCTTTCAGGGAAGATCTGGCCACCTAGAGAGCAGCGGGGTGCATCTTAGACACTGACACTACTGGGTAATCTAGGGTGTTGCTCTCTTCCTCTTCTGTAAGGCTGTTGGCCAGTCTTAGTGTGGCTTCAGGCTTTTAGTATTCTGCTGGGCCATTGCTTGTGGCCAGTACCGATGTAACTGTGTTTTTCTGCTCCCTCTAATAAAGAACGGCCTATGGCCCTTTGAGAAAGGATAAAAAATAAGAAGAAAAGATCACCAAGTGGCCGTAGTATCAAGGCCTGTTGCGTGTTAAGTCAGCGTGCGCCTGCAGTCATAGCATCCATCATAAGGCACAGGTGACTGCGATCACGTTGTCTCGGTAGCTGGTACCAAAATGCTTACAGCAAAACATGACAAAAACAGTCAGAAGCAAAATTACATAGCTCATCCACATAATCGGGTACTAGGACGCCAGCCAAACTGGTTAAACAAAACTCATGCAACCGTTTTCAAATGGCTGGACCCGAAGGCCATAAGCCCTCGCACGTCTATAGGCTGCAGTGATGATCACATACAGATTGATGCCATAGCTAGCTCTGTAGGTAACCTACAATTTTTTTGGAATAGATGATCGGTTAAAAACATAATTATTCTAGCAATTTCAAATTGCCCAATGAAGGACACAAACTCCCACACGGAATTTACCCTTCAGTGGTGAATACCACCTAACCAGTTACCAAACTAATTTGGTATACTTGTTGGTCGTGATAAATTGAAGTAACACGAATCATCCATCAAATCAATGTAGCAAACGGATATGACATGAATAAATGATGAATTGTTTTCTCTTAATCGCAAAATGAACATTTTGTGCTACCCGGTCAATTATGTTTTGCAAAATTATCTTTTGTAAGAACTAAGTCCCTCTGTAAGAATCACATGAAAACTTTGATTTTAGAACTTTTGTTTATTAGATGTGTTATGCGAAAAATAGACCCAGAATTTATAAAATCCGCATACATAGACTTCACGAGAAAGACACCATTGTTAATCAACCTCCACCATAACGGTACAGACATCTCGGTTAAATTGATCGACACCAACGTACTAACCAAGTGGATCCACCCAGTTCATTTGTCACTGAGTAAGGCTCCGCTAAATTAACTATTCAATGGGCTAGCCCCAAGACAGCTGCCACCGTGGCCTCCTTCCTAACTATAATATTATAAAGGGTCAGATATTGAAGAGCTAATGAAGTGTCACCTAACCAATTATCTTCCCAAAAACTCGTTGATTAGCAACCACTAACCTTAATGGAACCTCTCATGAAAAACAAAGACGACCTTCGCCAAGCCCTTCCTGGTGCGTAAGCCCCAACTTATTTAGCTGTTCTTCACACAATTGCCTGCGTGTGTACATGATTACATGTGACTCACATCGATCATTACATGTGATAAAAGTAGGCATTGTCTATCCCGTCACACCATTTCCTAATTGTTGTGTTCGTGTACATGATTTAGCTCTTGACAAGTAAGTTGGTGATGTGTACCCTAAGAGGTAAGTGTAGATGTGATGCAATGCAACTATGTAGGAGCGATTATCAACCTTTTTTCTTCTTCTAGAAGGAGGTTCCATCGTGGTCTTTGCGTATCATAGGGTTGTGATTGTCCTAATTAGCGTTTTGTCACTATTCTCTTGCAGGTGCTATGCTCGGCTGCTTCTTAGAGCTACAAACTGCCGCAAGAAGAAGTGTGGCCACAGCAACCAGGTGAAACTTCATCCATTGTCCCTTTATGGAAGAAAGAAATCATGTTCTTTGCCTCATAGATCTTGTTAGAATACGGTTCATCACCGACGATATTCAGAAATAAAATTATTATTTTTGATTAAAAATAAAATTAATTCTTTCATGATGCATGCTCTAGTCATAGTGTCGTATACAACATTTTACTCCATTTAACAGACTTCCCAACTCCCCTGCTCTTTTTTTATGTGACGACCCTGATTTTTTTTCTTCTGGTATGCACTGTAGGGGCATGTGTTCCATCCACACTAACACTCTCATGACAAAACATTTTCGTACAAATAGGAACTTCTAGGTTTTGACAGCTACTATTGGATATTTATATTTATTTAGATACAATTGATGTGAATTACTGAATAATCTATTCATTTTTCTTATCTGATGTATTGTGTGCAAACTATTATTTACAGTTGAGGCCAAAGAAGAACAAGTACAGGAGGTACTGAAGTGCCATTTGTCAATGAATCAACTTCTCACTACTCATATAGCCATATCATCTGAGATTCACCGTTCATGTCCTGTTTAATTACCTCGTTGTAACATCCTGCTGGGTGTAAACCATGATTACATAATTACTCTCTCAAATACAGATTTTTTTGAGACAATTTATGAAGCTTTATTAAGTCGTCACCAGTTGGACCGGGATGAAAGAGAGGTTCCCGGGATGGCCTAACCACACACGGCGGCCCATCCCTAAATTCAAAGCATGCTTCGCTAAATTGCGAGCCTCCATATTGGAGCTCCTATTTTTATGAACAAAATTGCAAGAATTAAAGCTAGTAGAATAAACTAAGATTTCATGCACAATCGCTCCATATTCCGCTCCACTCTTCTGCTTGATGCTATCAATAACCTCCTTACAATCAGAAGCCACATGAATATTCTGAAGTTGGAGATCTTCGGAAAGAGCCAAAGCCTCCCGTACCGCCAACGCTTCAAGGGCAGTTGGATTGGTGATAGCTCGGAATCCCAACGAAGAAGCTCCCAGGAACATGCCATTCTCGTCCCTGGCTATAGCGGCAATGGCTCCAACCCCTCGTCTCTCTGCCACGGCTGCATCAACATTAAGCTTGGACATGTTGCTAGGTGGCCGTAACCATCTCTTCGGTCTTTGTGGCTGGGTGCTATTTCTGATTGGTGTGGCATGGGGCTGAACCTGGAAATCACTGATGTATCGTTGTATAAACATGTGTGTTGACATGGGAGATTGATGTAGATCCTCATAGACTGCTTTCCTCTTTGCACTCCAAACCGCCCACAATGTAATTGCCATCCTCATCAACTGATCTGTGGTCAGCGCTTCATTCAGAGAGAACAACCACTCACGTGGGTCTACGGCTGTGTGTTGGCACATCATCTGGATCAGTTCGTCTTCCGCAAGCGCCCATACACAGCGAGCGTGTGTGCAATCAAGCATCGTGTGTCTCCACGAATCCATGGCACCACAAAGTTTACATGCCAGCAAGTCACCCATGTGTCTATGAGCTAGCACATCAGCTGTCGGGATGGAACTTCTAGCCAAATGCCATAGGAAGAATTTGATCTTAGGTGGCAAATTGACCTTCCAGAGTGTTGACCAAGCGCTGCTATCCTGCCCTGCCCGCGAGGTCCCTTCCTCCTCATCTATCCAAGATTCCCTTGCAAGCTTGGTGTTCATGATCAGCCTATAAGCCGATTTAACTGAAAAGCATCCCTTCTTCTCACCACTCCAAGCCCAAAAATCATTTATATTCCTTGTACAGAGAGGAATACTAAGAACTGCCTCCGCATCGATTGGTAAGAAAACCGACCTGACCAGTGATTCGTTCCATGTTGCAGTTGCCGTAGAGATCAATTCAGAGACCATGATCGGTGGCGTTGGGATCCTCGAAGAGATGGGTCTCATCATACCTGGTCGAGGCAACCAGTTATGGCTCCATATATGTGTGGTTTGCCCATTCCCGATTCTTCGTATTATACCAAGTCTCAGCATATCCCGTCCGTCCAAAAACCCCCTCCATATTTGAGACGGCCTCCCGCCAAGTTCAGCATCGAGCAGCGTGGTCTCCGGGAAGTATGCCGCCTTAAGTATTCTCGCACTCAGAGATTCGGGCTCGGTAAGGACACGCCAGGCTTGTCTAGCTAGTAGAGCAAGATTGAAGATCTCCATATCGCAGAAACCGAGACCACCCAAGTGTTTTGGTCTCGTCATGACATCCCAGGCGACCCAATTAGGCTTCCTCTTGCCCGCTTTGCTTCCCCACCAAAACTGACGAATAATAGATGTGATATTCTCACATAGGCCTCGTGGGATCCTGAAGCAAGCCATAGAGTAGACTGGCAATGCTTGAGCCACCGCCTTAATGAGTACCTCCTTACCCGCTGCTGACAGCAATTTTTGCATCCATCCTTTCACCTTCTCCCAAACCCTGTCTCGAAGATATCTGAAGGTACCCATCTTTGACTGTCCCACATCTGTTGGCATTCCCAAGTATCGGTCGCTCAAGAATATAGAGGATTTATCATGATTTACCCTCTGTCTTGAGGCATTACAATACATATCCATCAGGTTTGACACCTCTGCCGCCCCCTCCACACTTGACTTGAACAACAATAGGCTATCATCGGCGAAGAGAAGGTGGTTAACAGCCTAAGCTGTGGGTGCCACCTTGATCCCACTGAGTGCTAATGATCGAGAACTGGACTTTAAAAGGCACGAAAGGCCCTCTGCTACGATCAAGAAGAGGTAGGGGGAGATCGGGTCTCCCTGTCGGATGCCACGAGACGACAAAAAATTCTCAAGCCTCTCACCATTAAACTGAACCGAGAATGAAACGGAGCTGATCATCCCCATAACTGTGTCCACCCATACTTGGTTGAACCCTAGCTTTATCATAATCGCTTGGAGATAAGACCATTCAAATCTGTCATAAGCTTTCATCATATCCAGTTTCAACACACAATAGCTATTTGACTTCGCCTTGCTTTGCTTCATAAAATGTAGACATTCATATGCACATATAATGTTATTAGTTATCAGTCTGCCCGGAACAAACGCATATTGCTCTTCTGATATGATGTCTGGTAGAAGCACTTTAAGCCTGTTTGCTACGACCTTTGAAGCTATTTTGTAAATAACATTACACAAGCTAATAGGGCGAAATTGGGATAGAAGAGTTGGATTGATCACCTTGGGGATGAGAACCAGTACCGTGTCATTCACACATGCTGCACTCTCCTCCCCTCTAACAATCCTCAATACTGCCTTAGTTACCTCCTTCCCACATAGGTCCCAGTGCCGCTGATAAAAATGTGCTGGAAATCCATCTGGCCCCAGTGCCTTAGCGGGGAACATCTGAAAGAGTGCAATTTTCACTTCTTCATTTGTGTATGGTGCTGTGAGCTGTTCGTTCATGGCTTCAGTAACCTTGACAGGAACATGTTGTAATACTTGATCGATCCCTGTAACTCCCTCGAAAGTGTAGAGATTTTTATAGAAGTCAGACACCATACCTTTTAGTTCTGCTTTGTCCTCAACCATCACTCCAAGAGCATTGGCCAGTGTTTTAATCATGTTTTTCTTCCTCCGCATGCTGGCTCTCATATGGAAGAAGCGTGTATTCTTGTCACCCTCCGCTAGCCACTGTATATGTGACCGTTGCCTCCACATGATTTCTTCCTGATGGTATAGTTCAACAAGTTTCTCATTTATTTTCAGCTCAGCATGCGTTGGTCCTATCCTGGTTGTCTCCCCCCTCAAACGATGCAGCTCAGCGTTGAGGTGTTTTATTTCTTTTCGGACAGATCCAAAAGTTTCCTTGTTCCATCGCCCCAGGTTGCTTGATATTGCTTCTAATTTCTCCCTGAGTCCCTCCATAGTTAGGAAAACTGCTCCTGGCTCCATTGTTGGATGATAGTTTCTTTCCACGAGTCGTGAGACTCCCACATCACCTCGTACCTGAATGGAGGTTTAGCAGAAGGCCGTCCCCGACCAGGTTCAACAGAATCAGACAGTGGTCTGAGCCAGCTGCCGTTAAGTGTCTGAGATTAGCCTCCGGGTGCTGTGCACTAAGCTTGGCCGACACCAGGGCCCGGTCCAGTCGAAGCCTTGTATAGCTTCCCCCGGTCACTTTTGTGTCAAACGTCCAGAAATTGCCTTCATAGCCCAAATCCATTAACATGCAAGCATCGACCGCGTCACGAAAACCCTGAATTTGAGCATTGCTTCATTCTCCAATACCTTCTTGTTCATTTGGACATAGGACTTCATTAAAATCGCCTATACACACCCACGGGAGCTCGCTCAAACTTGCTATTCCCTTCATGGTGTCCCATGTTTGGTGCCTCAGGTGTGTACGTGCCTCTCCATAGAAGCAAGATGCACGCCATTTATCAGTACCTGGTTCATCTATAGAGCAGTCAATATGATACACCGAGCAACCCAAAATTTCGACTTTTATTGGATTGTTCTAGAAAATGCCAAGGCCTCCGCTCCGGCCTTGGCTACTAACAGCAAAGGAATTATCAAAACCAAGAGAATTTGCTAAATTTTCTACCCGAGCTCCATCTAGCTGAGTTTCGACAATACAAAGCAGGGCAGGGACAAACTTCTTCGCTAAATCGCGAAGTTCTCGGACTATCGCGGCTTTGCCCGCATCGCGGCAGTTCCAGCTCAAGATACTCATTGTGCCTGGCGGTACTCCTCTCGGGAGCCCACCGATGTTGCTTCTGTGTCGTTGCCCAGTCTCCTGATGCTGCTCTGGAGTTGATTTCCCTTGTCATCTGCTATGTCCACCCGAGCCCGTTTCGGGTCCTGCTTTGGGGGCGGGCTCAATGGGATCTGTGGCGTGGGGAGTGCAAGAATCTCATCTCCCTTGGGTTTAGACTTATATCCCCCTTGGATGTTAGCTATCACTTCCGAGACTTGTGTGCGCTTTCTATTTCCTTCCGCATCTACCATGTGTTCATCCATACCAGAATAGTTTCCGGCCCGGTGTTTCTTTTCTTTAGATTTCCCCTTGCTTCCATTCCTAGCTTTACCGGGACCCGGTCCTGCGCCCCTAAACCAGTCTGCCTTCAAGTTCTTGAAAACCAAAGCTGACGGAGGGTGGATACCGTCTCCATGTTCCTTGTACAAGTGTCCAAGCTTCCCGCATACCGCACACCAGTTCGGCAAACGCTCGTACTTCATGCAGAAAATCATCCTTTTTTCGCCCACCTTGAGCGACACGGCATTCCTCAAGGGCTTCTCCACATCAATCTTGACCTGGACCCTGAAGAAGTTGCCTTCAAAATCATGAGAGGCTGGTTCAGCATAGATGAACTCCCCGAGTTTCGACGCCAACGATGGGATCTGAGAAACATAACCCTCTGGGAAATATGTATCTGAGCCCATATCTCCAACCTGTCTAGCTTGATTGACGACGGCTTTGAGAAACCATCATATGGTGCTATAACCACTGCATCCCCTTGAAACGCCCATGGACCATCCATCATTACTCGCTCCCAATCCCCCAAACATGCAAATTGGAGGGTGTACAAGTTGTCTTCTAGGGGACGGATGTTGACTTTTTGCTCAAGGTTCCAGGCTGCGCGCATGTTCTTATAGAACCAAAACTGGTTGTACTCCTTCTCTGTGTTAACCCTGGCCACCGCCATCCAGCGGGTTGTTTCAGGCGGAACGGATCCCTGATCCACCACCACATCATCCAGATCTTCCTCAGAGAGCCCCAATTCCTTCATCATCTCTGCCAGATCGTCTGGATCACCTGATCCAGAAGCTTCAGCCACCATCTCCTTGTACCCTTACCCGAAGATGATTCTCTGCCGGGCTGTGACCTAACCCTAACCAACCAGCCGCCGCTAGTTCGTCGCCCAACTGGTGGGAGAGGGAACCAGAAACGTCACCCCCGTCAATAGACAGAGCGTAACCAGCGAGCAGAGGTAGGGAAAAAATTTCTCTACGCGCAGCGAAGATCGCCGCCGAAAGGAAGTGAAACCCTAACGAGAGGGAAGGTGGACCGTCGTGGCTCATGATGCATGCTTTAGTCATAGTGTCGTATACAACATTTTACTCCATTTAACATACTTTCCAACTCCCCTGCTCTTTTTTTATGTGACGACCCTGATTTTTTTTCCTTCTGGTATGCACTGTAGGGGCGTGTGTTCCATCCACACTAACACTCCCATGACAAAACATTTTCGTACAAATAGGAACTTCTAGGTTTTGACAGCTACTATTGGATATTTATATTTATTTAGATACAATTGATGTGAATTACTGAATAATCTATTCATTTTTCTTATCTGATGTATTGTGTACAAACTATTATTTACAGTTGAGGCCAAAGAAGAACAAGTACAAGAGGTACTGAAGTGACATTTGTCATTGAATCAACTTCTCACTACTCATATAGCCATATCATCTGAGATTCACAGTTCATGTCCTGTTTAATTACCTCGTTGTAACATCCTGCTGGGTGTAAACCATGATTACATAATTACTCTCTCAAATACAGATGGTTGTCTTTGAGTCGCGACGAGCAACCATACTACTAAGAGCCCGTTGAAGGTGGTCTGCTCCGGTGGGGCACATAGCCGGCCCGAACGGTCCAACTGCATGGAGTCAGATCCGTGAAGCGCAGGAAGCCCGTGGTTGGAAAATGAGTAAGCGAAGTGCAAATCCCCCTCCCCCCGCTTTTCTGATTTTCAGGGGATGGGGCTCAAATCCGAAAAATTCTATACCAACAGAGGAATACGGCGATTTTACAGGAATATCATTCATTAACTAATCTTCACCCCTTGATTTTTAAGGGGCATGGGGCCCTCATCACCTTTTCTTCCAATCAATTTATCCCAGCTAAGCATCCCTGTAAAATTCAGTAAAAATCTACATGTGCGTGTAGCATTGCTCCTCCAATCCAACTACAATCTTACACGTGACATTGATTTCCAATCAACCCGTAGAAACCCCGTAAGCCTCCCATACGTGTGCCATCACTCCCCCCTTTTAAGATCTGGAAAACCCAAGTTTCAAAAAAGAGAAAAAATGCAAAAAACCTGGAGATTTACAACGAATTACCATTAAGAACATTTCTAACCTATCCCTTAAAAATAGAGGAGTAAACATTGGATTAAACCTTAGTGGAATATATTTACTCGAATAAGTTTTGGCCGGACCTAGCCGATCCCCTATATATAATGGAGTAAACTTAAATTTGGCTCATACATTTCGGCGAACACTTGCTATGCACCTCCGCAGCGAGTGGCAACCATGGTGACCACGCCGGCGGCGAGCATCAGCAGCAGCAAAGGCACACAACTGGGAGGAGCAGCAGCAGTGTGCCAGCGGCGGCAAGCAGCAGCAGCACGCAGCGGGGAGGAGCAGCGGCGAGCAACAGCAGTAGCAGCACGCTGAGTAGCAACAGCAGCAGCACACACCAACGACAGCGAGCAGTAGGAGAAATAGCACACACCGACGGCGGCGAGCAACAACAACACGCAGCAGCAGCATTTAGTGGCCGTAGAACGACAGCCCCCCTCCCCCGCGTCGTCTCCTCCGAGGCGACCCGGGAGCAACCCTAGTCACCACAGCCGCGCCCCCTCCTCCCCCTCCTTCCTCTCCGTCGCCGCCTGAGGTGTGCTCCGGCACGCACGCTCGACACTGATGAAGGTGGCGGCGGGGATTCGGCGGCTGCTCGTCTCGGGCAGGGCCTCGGCGCCGCCCCGACAGGTGAAGGTGGGGTGGCCCTGGCGGCGGGCCGCCCTGCCGGTGCGAGCTCGGCGCCCCCTTGGTCTCGCGGGTGACGAGGTGGCGGCGGTCGGAGGTCGCTGGTGTGCATCCCTCCCCGCAGGTATGCCGCTGATGAAGCCCATCCCCTCCGCCCCAATCTGCTCCTTCCTTCGTCAGATCTAGGTCCTGGTGGCTTAGGCCGCTGCTCCTGGTTGCTGGCTGCGCGGATCTCATCGGGCGGGGTTGGATCCAGGGGAAACCCCTGGCCGGCGCGACGGTCACACCAAAGGCGACGCCTTGGGCGACGTTCCCCTCCTTGGAGGTTGTGGTGTGGATCTTCCCCCTCCTTCCGCCGCATGCTAGGTGAAAGCCTAGGTCCCCTGCTTAGGGCGGCGACGGCATGTCCGTGTCTTGTTCCTTCTTGGAGGCACCGTCCGAGGATTGCAGGGGCGGCGAGAGAGTTTGGTTGTGGGTGTGATGGTGGCGGGAGACAGCTTGGATTGGTCTTCATAGGATGCCGGCTGGAGGGTCCCTGACGAGTTCGCCGGTGGGTCGATGCCCACGAGCCTGGGCAAGAGGGGATCGGGTTCCCCTCTTCGGCGACAACGATATACCATTGGTGGGAGCATTGTGCTCCAGCGAATCCAGCGCTGGCCTTTGATCTACTTATCGCTGCTTCCCTTGCTTCTGCGACTGTGGCCGGCAGCTCTCGCCCTTTGGTGCGGCTGAGCCGCAGACAACGATGGTGCTTGTTTGTAGTGTGCCCTGTGCCTGCGGTCCTACTCTAGTCTCTTCTCCCTGCATCTTGGAGGCCATCCATTTGGGTTCTGGGGTGAACCGAGCTGCCGTCTACCGGTACGGCATCCTTCGAGCCAGGATGAAGGGGTAGGGGCCCTTTGCAGAGGCAGTAACAGATGATGGTCTGGTCCATGGCTGGCTCCGAGGGTGGCTGTTATCACGAAGCTTGCGCGGTGGTGCATTCCTCCCAAGACCCTAGTTTTGTTCTGTTGGTGTAGGTCGTCCAGTAGGGTGTTGGTAGCAGCGTGGTGTTGCCTTGGCTCACTCTGATGCTGCCTTGAGTTGTTTTGCTTGAGTTCCTTGTATCCGTCGCTCGGTTTCTTTTTCTTTGCATTGTAAGCGGTTGTTCTTGTAATCCTGGCCGGTTGATGGCTTTGTTAATTCAAAGTCAGGCTCTTCTTGAGCCTTCGTTTCAAAAAAAGCATTTAGTGGCCGTACCACTAGCAGTACAGGCAGGGATCATTGGTGAGGTCGCCGGCGAGGCCCAAGGTCACAAGCGAGGCCATGGGAGCTTCACGTGAGTTGCCGGCCGGCCACAAGGAGGTCTTTGGTTGAAGAATAATTATACTCGGCCATCTTCAGGCGGAGTAAATATAGAGAGAAATTTAGGGACGAAATACGTAAAAATTATACTCCTCCTCACGGATTGGGGGTCGGCTAGGTGCCGGTTAGAGTAAAACAGCCTGTTATAAGGGATTTTTTTTTGTGAATGCTGTTATAAGGGATTGGTTAGAAATGCCATAAGACAGCTCATATCCCTGAGAAAAAGGCGTCAACCCTCACATGTAGTTTTTCATTGCGGGTCTGAGAAAGAATACATTGGTAGCATTTGCCATTAAAAAACCCCGCTTAGGACGCCAAAGGTCCAGGCAATTCAGACAAACACTAGGATCAGTTATTTAAAGTACTTGTGTATGGATCTCATCACCGGCCATGCAGGAGTACCTAGGTTCCTGCACCAGTAATCCCAGGACGGCGCCGACCCCATCTGGGTGCCGGAGAATACACCGTTGACATCCCAAAAAATAATCATGCGCTACAATGGTAATCATGTCAGTTTACAACCAGATTAGTACAAGACTTATCAGCAACTTAGCAGTCGAGTACGAACACAGGTTGCAGCAGCTTAGGCATCAGCAATTTCCTCCCACGATGCATGCCATGAGCTATCTTGTAGCAACGTCCATGGCAGTAGGATTACTCCTCGGTGCCGTCTCCCCAACAGTCAAGGCAGCTTCAGCCAATGCGACGGCGAGCCGGAACACGACGGCGTCGGCACTGCCACCGTTCGGCACGAACCACACCGTCGGCGACGGTGCCGGGTGGTTGTTTGACGGCAAGGCGAATGCCTCGGCGGCCAACTACTCGGCCTGGGCAGCCAACCGCACCTTTTACCGCACCTTCTACCTCGGCACCTTCTCCCTCCGTCCGCGAATAAGTGTACTTCTAGCTTTTGTCTTAAGTCAAAGTTTTAAAACTTTGACCAACCTTATGGAAAAAAGTAGCAGCACTTATGACACTAAATTAGTATCACTAGATCTGTTTTGAAATGTATTTTCATAATATATCAATTTGATATCATATATGTTACTATTTTTTTTATATAGTTGGTCAAAATTTTAAAACTTTGATTTAAGACAAAAGCTAGAAGTACACTTATTCGCGGACGGAGGGAGTATGTGTTCTTTCACTGCATTTCCTTTAGCTTTGATGTGCAGGGGGCAACTCCAAATCTTATTAGTCCCCGTTCGGAACAACTGAATTCGGTGCGAATGTAGCAAGAATTGCCGTCGCTTTTGGGATCATGTTGGTCACATGATCATCTCGTTTTGCATTTACAGGCTTCAGGACCCGCACGGATAACACGGTCGTGCACACGACCAACGCTACGGTATACAAGCTCTGCGGCTACGACGGTGGTGCCATCGGTGGCGGGTGGAAGGCCGAGGAGGCCTTCTTGACGGTGATGCTAGCTGCGGAGGGCCCAAACTACTTCTTCTCGGACGCCGGCGAGGGGGAGCACTGCCGGAGGGGGATGCGGTTCGACGTCACTGTGGCGCGCGGCCGCGGCCTCCCACAAACACCACCGTCGTACTACGAGCCCCTGTCCGGCGGGACGGCAGGGAGGGGGCTCGGCGAGGTGGTGCCCATGTGGGTTGCTGTGAACGTTGGCTTTGCTGTTTTGCTGATGCTGTGAATGGTCTCCATTTCCATCAGGTGTTAATCAGCATTCAGCAACGACACAGGGAAATTGCAACTTCTGTAGCAACGTCCGCAAGTTTTAAGATTTGTTCTCGTTGCTTGAAAAATTTAAAATCTTAGTCGTCTGTAAAGTTGGTGGCCGAGGTAGAGGCTCAGAGAGACAGAGACGGCATTGAGCTATGCTCACGACGTGATGCCGGTGGATGCATCAAGAAGAAGACTTCAGTATCTTCAAAAATTTATATGTATTTCTACTTTCTTATAAATGTGCGTTTGTAAGGACATGTGATACTTAATATCACTGGTGGAGAAGCCCATTCAACACCAAATTCTTTTTATACGTAAGCATGCACTTTTTCTTTACGGGAATACTTAAGCATATACTGCTTGTTGGTTTTAGACCACAACTCGATTAGCCGAAGCAAACCTAGATGGAAGCACGCAAGTAGGCAGCTTGGTTTCTGTACTGCCTACCACATGCACATCTCACTGTGTGGACGTACTCGAACTCACTCGCTTCTTCTGAACTGGCTCACTTCTGCTGAAGAACAATCGGATCGATTCTCTCGGCGGCTCGATCTTTTGATGGAACTCTCATAACTTGGCGACCAAAAAACAGAGAAAAAATTGCCGGTCCGTGCA